GCTGAGCCGCCCTTTGTGTATTTTAATATGGATAACATATGATATATGTTAAGAATTATTATTTGGATTCATAATTGTATAAAGTTTAAAAACTCAAATAGAATAGTTTCTTAGTCTGAATATGAAATGTTATCTTCTATATTAAAAAATGTAAATAATGAAAAGTAAGAAAGCATTTTCTGTTCCTGGAATTTTTTCCCATGTTGTCTGATTTACTACTTAACCCTTAATTCTTGACTCAAGAGTAGCATCCTTAATGTGCCGTTCTTAAGATAGAATTGTCTCCTTTTTCTTTTGTGTACCTGCTGTTCATAGTACATGCTTATATTCCTTTAGCTTGTTGTTATATGTGACTTATTTACATGACTATCTTTTTGAACAAGCGCCTTTTGGCCAGAGACCATATCTTATTTTGGTTAGTGCAATCACAGATACCTATGTGCTCAGTGTATGTTTATTGACGAGTAAATGTACATTGTAGTCTAAAAACTTGGCTTTTACCCTTTAGGCAGTCGGAAGCCAGTGGAGGATATATCTGTGGTGGTAGTTTATTGTTATCAATAGCTACTTTTTTTTTATTTTGAGCACCAGAGTGCAGATAGTGTCTTAGAAAGATGAGATAAACTAGTCATGAGAATATCCTCGCAAATCCAATAATGCATAGCCCACCTCATTCTATCATTGCTCCTTTATGACATAAAAGTAATACCTGCTCATTATAAAAGCTCAAATGTCAGAAATACTGTAGGTAATGAACCCGTCCAGCAACCCACCAAAAGACAGTGTAGTGCATAGTCTTAATTATTTTCTATACTGATTCGCATAGTTTATTAATGATACAGTTTAAAACCAAATAAAAATGAGCTCATTCTAAACATACTTTTACAGTTTTCTTTTGTTTACTTGTATCTTGGACATCTCTTCATGTCAGTACACGTGGACCTGCCTTATTAATTTCTCAGCTACATAGTGTATGTGGACCATATTTTAGTTGTGTTGAACCTTTGGAATTGCTTTTTAACTGTTAGAAATATTGCTACAAAGAACATTCTAGTATATAATATTATGTAGTTGTGGGCATGTTTTTAAAAGGCAGGTTCCTAAAGTGGAGATTCCTGGCTGAAAGGGTATGGACATTTTCAGTTTTAACAGTTTTTGCCAAATTGCCACCTTTGTAGTTTACTGCCCCTCTGATGGAATGAATACACATTTGTATATGTAAACCTCTGTGTATTTTCATAGCCTCAGCATACCTATGCAAGCACCTTGATCAAGGTACTGAACATTGCCAGCACCTCAGAATCCCCTCCTGTGCTCCCTTCAGTCCCTGTCCACCCCCATGAGTACCTGGTTTTGCCTGGTTTTGTATTTTAGAAAATGGGACTATTTTGTATGTGGCACTATTATTTTTAATTTTTGTGAGTCTGATAGATAAAAATAATCTTATTACTATTTTGACTTACATTTATCTTCATAATGACTGAGATTAAGATTTTCTTCAGCTGGGTGTGGTGGCTCACGCCTATAATCCCAGCACTTTGGGAGGCCAAGGTAGGAGGACTGCTTGAGCCCATGAGTTGGAGACCAGCCTGGGCAACTTAGCGAGACCTCATTTCTACAACAAATAAAAAAATTAGCCAGGCGTGGTGGCACATACCTGTGGTTCCAGCTCCTTGGAAGGTTGAGGCGGAAGGATCACCTGAGTCCAGCAAGTCGAGGCTGCAGTTGGCCATGAGCATGCCACTGCACTCCAGCCTAGACAACAGAGTGAGATTCCAACTCAAAAAATAAAAATAAAAAGAATTTCTTTGTATATATCTCAACTTTTTAAAAAAGAATTAGCAAGTCTCAAAAATTAGCTTGTTTGGAACTCAAACTAAAGACTGAAAATAAAAGCAAAGCAAACTTCCAAACTCTAAGATTATGATCCCCCTCCAGTATTCCTAAGTCTGAGTTTCTCCACAAACATCAAATAGCTTTTATATTTATTTTCACACTTAACAAATTAGGAGTAAAGAGCTGTCAGACATGGAAATTGATGTTTTGAGACAAACTCTATATCCAAATGTGGGACTGAGGCTGAAGTTCAAGCCCTGCATGGTATTGAGACTGAATGGTTCAAGACAGTTAAGACTCTCAGATCCAGAAGAAGCAGAAAATGCATAGAAAATAATTTTCTGTGCATAATATCAACTATAAGCTACCTTTAAAAAATTAACACAAGATGTACAAGATCCAAGTAGAGGCAACTGCGGTCCTACTCAGGCAAACTTTTTGGCATAAAAAATTTTGAACTGAGAATAATGAGGTTCATGTTTTGAAGAGATAACTAAGTAGTTTTTTTAGTGGTAAATAAAAAATTAGAGTACAAAATATATCAACCAGTTACATAATAAAGATAAAATTGTATTATTTCCAGGAATGACTTTTAAATGTGAATAGTTAGAATGAAAAAAATAAGAAAGTGAAGTTAGGCTTGGTTATTTTACCATATCTGCAGCATGAAAAATGCAAATCAGCATTGTAAAGACTTAGAAAACCTGCATTGCAGAAACCTATGTATATTGTAGAACCTTGTGTTTCCCACCTGATCTGTGCACATAGGAAATCCATTAATATCTTCAGGGCATAGAAGTCTGCAAATCATAATTTGGAATACACTATATGTATTTGAACTTTCTTAATTCACTTATATAAATGCTGATGTTTGCATGATATGCCAGAATCTCAACTTACGGAATCTTTGTAAGAACTGACATTAAGTAAGTGACTTAGCTGGAAAGGAACTGAGTATAGTGGTTTTTAAAAACTATGTTTGTTATTAGATGTTCTCCAAATATTTTCACCCAGTCTGTGATTTATCTTTTCATTCTCTTTAATAGTATCTTTTGAAGAGAAGAAGTGATGAGATCCAGTTTATTACATTTTTCTTTTATGGTTGTGCTCTTAATGTGCATTTGCGAAGTCTTACCTAATTAAAGGTTACAAGGATTTTCTCCTGTGCTTCCTTCTAGAAGTCTTATAGTTTCAGGTTTCCAGATTGTATTTTTGTTTGTTTGTTTGTTATTTGAGTTGGAGTCGCACTCCTTCGTCCAGGCTGGGCTACAGTGGCACACACGCTCACGGCCACCCCAGCGTCGACCTTCTGGGCTCTAGCCATCCTTCTGCCTCTGAGTAGCCAGAACTGCAGGCCCATGCTACCATGTCCGGCTATTTTTTATTTTATCATAGAGATGAGGTCTCGCCAAGTTGCCCGGGCTGGTCTCAAACCCGGGGGCTCAGGCAGTCCACTCGCCTCAGCCAAATTCTTATTTTTATTTTTTTTTTGAGTTGGAGTCTCACTCTGTCGCCCAGACTGGAGTGCAGTGGCCGCTCCCGGCCACCGCAGCCTCGACCTGCTGGGCTCCAGCGAATCCTTCCACCTCAGCATTCCAAGTAGCTGGAACTATAGGTGCACGCTACCACACCCGGCTGATTTTTTGATTTATTGTAGAGATGAGGTCTCGCCAAGTTGCCCAGGCGGGTCTCGAACTCAGGCAATCTACTCACCTCAGCCTCCCAAGGCACGGGATTACGGGCTGAGCCACCAAGCCCAGCTAGCCAAATTCTTTTTTAATTTGGTTTTTTCCACATAGTTTGGTACTTTGCTTCAGAAGGTCCATAATTTTCATATAGTTTTATAACTTGCTTTTTTCCTCACTATTTTATCGTGGCATTTTCATATCAGTATAGTTAGTTCTTTTTAATAGCTGCATAGTATTCCACCAAAGAATGTACCATAGTTGATTTAGCTTTTCTTGTTGGATGTTGTTTTCTGTTTTTTCCCTGTGTAAATAATGGTCCAGTTTAAAAATTCAGCTCAAATTTTAATTCCTGTAAATTATTTTATGATAGAATTATTTCATCCTTGTAGATTTTGAGGCACACTTAAAACTTTAAAATTTTGCTAAACAGTTTTGACTTTTCTTGTTTAATATGTGGAATTAGGATAAAGTTATGATGTAAACAATTATTATTAAAATTTTTAAAGTAATTTTCTATCTTCTATCATAACTATATTGGATTATGTTCCCTCCTGGTTCAGCCATAGTAAGCATGTATAGAAAACTCTATTCCACTAATGATTTCTCTTAACTCCTCAATTTATTTTTTTATTTTTTTTATTTTGAGTTGAAGTCTCCCTCTGTCACCCAGGTTGGAGGGCAGTGGCACGCTCCCAGCCACAGCAGCTTCAACCTGCTGGACTCAGGTGATCCTTCTGCATCAGCCTTCCAAGTAACTGGAACTACAGGCACGTGCCATCACACCTGGCTAGTTTTTTTATTTATTGTAGAGATGAGGCCCCGCCAAGTTGCCTAGGCTGGTCTCAAACCCGTAGACTCAGGCAGTCCTCTCACCTTAGCCTCCCAGAGTGCTGGGATTATAGGTGTGAGCCTCTGCACCTGGCCTAACTTCTCAATTTATATGACTTATTTGATTTGGCTTCTCTTTCACTCCTTCCCACTTTTCACGTCTCTCCAAAAAATCAGTTTGAGCTCTGTTGAGGTTATAATACTACCTACGCTGGGCTCGGTGGCTCAGCCTGTAATCCCGTGCCTTGGGAGGCTGAGTGAATGGATTGCCTGAGCCCCCGGGTTCGAGACCCGCCTGGGCTACTTGGTGAGACCTCATCTCTACAATAAATCAAAAAATTAGCCAGGTGTGGTAGCGCGCGCCTGTAGTTCCAGCTACTTGGAAAGCTGAGGTGGAAAGATCGCTGGAGCCCAGCAGGTCGAGGCTGCGGTGGCCAGGAGCGGCCACTGCACTCAGTCTGGGCGACAGAGTGAGACTCCAACTCAAAAAAAAAAAAAACTACTACCTACATAGATTTTAGATTTGTGAAAGACTACATCCCACTTGCTCTTTTTTTTTCTTCAAAATTAGATGGTATACATTGAGGGGATAAGAGCTTCATGGTTTCTTTTTCATTGTTTTAAAGCCATTTCATTTTTTCATGACAGATTCAAAAGCTTTGCGACAGAGTTGCTTCGTCTACTTTATTGGATGATCGAAGAAATGCTGTGCGCGCTCTCAAATCATTATCAAAGGTTTGTAACTTTATAAATGTTTAGGTTTTTAGAGTTGGGTGTTAGTGACCTGTGTAATGTTTTTTTTTCTTTTTCATGTGCAGAAATACCGCTTAGAAGTGGGTATCCAAGCAATGGAGCATCTTATCCATGTTTTACAGACAGATCGGTAGGTCGCTGTTCAGTGGTCTCTCTCCCTGAGTTTTCTTGTACTTTTAATGAATTTGCTTTAGAATCATTGTCACTATTCTAGAAGTTGTGGGCATATTAAAGCTATTAAGTTATTTTATTTGTCATTTTGTTTTATTTTATTTTGAGTTAGAGTCTCACCTTGTTGCTCAGGCTGGAGTGCAATGGCACACTCACGGCCACCGCAACCTCGAACTGCTGGGCTCAGGCGATCCTTCCACCTCAGCCTTCCAAGTAGCTGGGACTACAGGCATGTACCACCATGCCTGGCTGATTTTTTTATTTATTGTAGAGATGAGGTCTCGCCAAGTTGCCCAGGCTGGTTTCAAATCCGTGGGCTCAGGCAGTCCTCTCACCTTACCCTCCCAAAATGCTGGAATTATAGACATGAGCCATCTCATTTGGCCTGTTTGTCATTTTAATAAGTATTGATGGGACACAAGATTTAAACCACTGTGTTTAAGCATTAGGAGAGATATGTGTAAGTGGTATGAAGTAACTGCCAGTTAAAGCCTTGAGATTGTGGGTTTGAATTGGCCAAATGTATGTTTGGTTATTCACTTACATATATGGCAATATACTATTCTATATTATAATACACATATTATGGCATATCAGTTATCCAGACCTGATTTTTTGAGTGAAATGAACTGCACTAATAAGAGTGAAGTATTAAATCTTAGCATGCCATAAGAGAAAGATCATTTAGCCTATTTTTAGCTCCTTTAAAAAAATTTTATCTGCATCTTTGATTTTAATTGTGCATGGATAGCTTTCAAATATTACCTCTAGTTGAATATGCCTTACAAACTTTAGCTGCCCATTGTACATTTCTACCCTACCAGGATCTCTCATAGGTATCTCAAATTCAAAATGTCCAAAAGCTGTTTTATCTCTGGTCCTTCTGCTTCTATTCCCTTGCTGCCCCCGTTCAGTTGCTTTTTGCCCCAAGTTCATTCCAGTCAATAGCACCTTCCCATTCAAACCAGAAACTGAATGATTCTTATTGAAATTATTCCTATTCTTAAGCCCTTATGCCCACACAGACCAAAACACAGCTGGAATCCATGATTTTCTCCTCATTTCCTTTCTTGGGCATAGTTCTGACTCTCTGTATTAATTATTTAAATTATTTTCACCATCTCTGTGTTGAGTATTTTTTGCAATATAAGAAATTATTTCAAAACTTAGTGGTTCAAAATAAGAAATATTTATTATCTCATGGTTTCTGTGGATCAGGGATTAGGGGAGCAGTTATCTAGGTGGACTCAGGGTCTCTCATGAGGTTGCGGTCAGCCAGGTTTGCAGCCATCTGTAGGCTTGACTGGGGCTAGAAGATCAAATTCTGAAGTGGCTCACTCACATTGTTATTGGCAAGAGGTCCCAATTCCACACCATGTTGCTCTCTCCATAGGGCTGCTTGAGCACCCTCATGCTGTGGCAGCTGGCTTCTCCCAGAGGAAACAATCCTAGAGAGAAAACCATGAGAAAGCCACAATGCCTTTATAACAAAGTATCAAGAGTTATGTGCTGTCAGTCCTATCGCACCGTAGTTGTCAGAAGCAAGTTAATAATTTAGGGGATAATAAGAGGAAGAGAATTTGGTTCCACTTTTTGAAGTGAGTGGAATCAAAAAGTTTTGGACATTGTTTGTTTATTTATTTTTTTGAGTTGGAGTCTCACTCTGTTACTCAGACTGAAATGCAGTGGCATGCTCGCGACTACTGCAGCCTCGACCCGTTGGGCTCCTGCTATCCTTCCACCTCAGCCTTCCAAGTAGCTGGAACTACAGGCACATGCTACCATGCCCGACTAATTTTTGATTTATTGTAGAGACGAGGTCTCACTAAGTTGCCCAGGTGGGTCTTAAACCTACTGGCTCAGGCAGTCCACTCACCTCAGCCTCCCCAAGTGCTGGGATTACAGGTTGAACCACCGAGCCCAGCCTAGACTTAGTTTAAAACCACCACCACCTTCAAACTGTTCTTTGCCTCTGATCTCTTTGTACTGCCTCTCTCCATATTTAGTCTTTATATTGTAAGAATTAACTTTCTGAAATATAGCTCTTCTGTCACTTGCCTGTTTAATGCATTTCATCAGTTCAATGCAGTTGAAGTTCTAGTTTTTCAAACAAAGCAAGTAATAAAAAGTTTGTAAAGACCTGGATACTGCCTGTTAGTCTAAACTCATAGCCTTTTTCTCAATTATATTTCAGCAGAGCCCAGCTGCTTGTTTATATCAGTTATTACCTTTCTTTTTTTCTGAGTAGGAGTCTCACTCTGTCGCCAAGAGTAGAGCTGGCCACTGCAGCCTCGACCTGCTGGGCTCCGGCGATCCTTCCGCCTCAGCCTTCCAAGTAGCCGGAATTACAGACATGTGCTACCACGCCCTGCTAATTTTTTGATTTATTGTAGAGATGAGGTCTTGCTAAGTTGCCCAGGCGGATCTTGAACCCGCGGGCTCAGGCAATCCACTCACCTCGGCTTCCCAAGGCACGGGATTACAGCCACCGAGCCCGGCCATGACCTTTCTTTTCTCCCCAGACAGGGTAACTCTCGTTTACTACCTTTTCAAAGTCAACTAGGTCTAACACATTTGAATAAATGCATTGGATGTTGTCAGAACTATATGTATTATTAATGTCATGGTGGGTAATTGTAGTAGACAGAATAATAATACCTTCCCCCTCCAAAGATAGCTGCATCCTAACTAGCAAAACCTGTGAAAGTTACCTTGGATGGCAAAAGGGACTTTGCAGGCGTGATTAAGTTTAGGATTTTGAAATGGGGAGATTATCATGGATTATCCAGGCAGACCCAGTGTTATCACAAGGGTTCTTAAAAGTAGAACAGGAAGTCGCAGAAGAGGAGGTCAGAGTTCAGTGATAGAAGGACTCAACTTGCTGGCTTTGAAAATAGAACAAGGGATCCATGAGACAAGAGATGTGAATGACCTTTAGAAGACTGGAAAAAGACAAGGAGGCAGATTAGTGTGATGGTTATACATTCTTCAAATCTTTCTTCATTATTCCGTGAGTGTTAAATCACACACACATTTTCTCACTGAGTCTTATAAGGTTAGTAATGAAATGACTAGCATATTAATATGGGAAGTAGAATACACCTCTTATAGAAAATGGTCTGTATTATCATTTTTACTGCACAGCAGAAAGTAAATATGTAGATACTCTTGATAAAGGTAATAGGTTTAAAAAAATCCATTGCGTATTTACTGTGTGCCAGGTCCTGTGCTTAAAAGTAGGGTATATCATTTCCCCTGAAAGCTGAAACAAGACAAGTCTGCCCACTCTCACCCTCTTGTTCAACATTGTGTTGAAAGTCCTAGCTCAGGCAATTAGACGAGAGAAGGAAATTGGGGCTATCCAAATAGGAAAAGAGGAAGTCAAGTTATCTTTGCTGATGATATGATCCTATACCTTGAAAATCCAAGAGAATCTGTCAAAAACCTGCCGGCACTAATAAAGAACTTTGGCAAAGTCTCAGGGTACAAAATAAACGTGCAAAAGACAGTTGCATTTCTGTACACCAAAACAAGCAGAGACCCATATTAAAAGCACAATCCTATTCACAATAGCCACCAAAAAATGAAATACCTTGGCATCTTCCTAACCAGAGAAGTGAAAGACCTTTACAAGGAAAACTGCAAAACCCTGCTCAGAGTAATCTAAGAAGACACAAACAAATGGAAAAATATTCTGTGCTCATGGATAGGAAGAATCAACATTGTTAAAATGGCCATCCTACCAAAGGCAATCTACAGATTCAATGCAATACCCATTAAGTTACCAACATCATTCTTTTCAAACCTTGAAAGGACAATATAGAAATTCATGTGGAAACATAAACAACCAAGAATAGCCAAAACAATTCTAAGCAGGAGATATCACACTTTCAGATTTCAAACTTTACTAAAAGGCTACAATAATCAGAACAGCCTGGTATTAGTGCAAGAACAGGCACATAGACCAATGGAACAGAATAGAGGTTCTGAAGCAAAGCCTCAACTTCTCAGCAAACTCATCTTTGACAAAGCCTCCAACAACTACCACTGGGGAGAGAAGAACTTACTCAGTAAACGGTGCTAGGAAAACTGGCTGATCACATGCGGAAGATTGAAACAGGGCCCCTACCTATCATCATACACAAAAATTAACTCTAAATGGATCAAAGACCTAAACATAAAACCTCAAACTATAAGAGTCTTAGAAAATGCAGGAGACACCCTTATGGAAATTGGAACTGGCAACCAATTCCTATTCAGAACCCTAAATGCCCATACCTTAAGAAATAAGATAGACAAGTCGGACCTCATCAAACTGAATAGCTTTTGCAAAGCAAAAGAAACCATCAAGAGAGCAGGGAGACAGAATGGGAAAAAAAATATTTGCCAACTGTATATCTGACAAAGGCCTAACATCTAGGATCTATAAGGAACTCACACGCGCCGAAAGGAAAAAAACAAACAGCCACATTAAAAAGCAGGCAAAAGACATGACTAGACACTTCTCAAAAGAAGATATTCGGGCAGCCAACAGACACATGAAAAAGTGCTCAGCCTCACTCATCATCAGAGAAATGCAAATCAAAACCACATTGAGCTACCACCTAACCCCAGTAAGAATGGCCATCATTAATAAAACAAACAACAACAGATGCTGGCGAGGATGTGGAGATAAAGGAATGCTTCTACACTGTGGTGGAAATGCAAACTAATGCAACCTCTTTGGAAGACAGTGTGGCGATTTCTGAAAGAACTAGAAGTTGACCTTCTATATGACTGAGCAATTCCCCTATTGGGAATATACCCAGAGGAACTCAAATCATTCTATAAAAAAGATACCTGCACACATATGTTTGTTGCAGCTCTTTTCACAACAGTAAAAATATGGAACCAACCATGTTGCCCATTGAAGGTGGACTGGATAAAAGAAAATGTGGTACATATACACAATGGAATAGT